GTGGAAATCTCTTCCACTTCTTGCTTTGTTGCCCTTGTTTTCCTCCTTGAGCTCCCTAGCTCCAAGCTTCATCTCCAGCTCTAAAATCTCTGCAAAATTACGGAATGATAGAATGACTTGCAGATTGCACATTCATTCTCCTTTGCCCGTAATTTCCAGCTCACACTTTTAATATAAAACTCATTCTTTGTTAAAGCCTTAGCCTTTGTCCCCTTGCCATGATGGGTTGTTTTTGTTCTTGTCTTCACAAAGATGCTCATTGCTTCAGAAAATATCTCTTAACCAAAGTAATTTCTTGTTACCAAATGGTATGGTAACAAGTAGAAATGAGGTAACACCAAGTGAAAGTAAAACTGGCCCAAAACAGATTTCCAGAGCCAGCATCAATTGTTAGATCAGTTGGATAGGCTACACTTGTCCAATGGAGCTCAAATTCGGATATGTTGTAGTTAACATCCATTGGAACAAGTTTCATGAAGATCTTCACCTCATCCGAGCACCAGAGCATGCTGATCCAAGACCAAGAAGTTGACCTACGAAAATGAACAAAAATCAGAATTTATAACCAATAAAGCCCTTTTAGCTCATTTTCATTCTAACCAAGGTAAAACCTATGAAAACACAAAAAAGAAGTAAAAAGCTATAAAATATCAAGAACTAACTCAAAATAATGGGTGAATCACATGATAAATCATGTGTAAAAATGAACCGAACAAAGAGCCACTAGAAGCAGAGCAACTAAGATCGATGCATGAACTCCTTGAATTGCTTGGAGAGATCGATAAGAGTAGTGATAGTAATGCTTATTGACTTGGTAGTGCAATGAGAGTATTCGTAACTGTAATGGTAAATTTGAAAACAACGTAAAATATTGAAAATTAACCAAGATATATTTTTGTTGACAACATGAGTTATGTGTTACAAGTTGTTCTTTAACTTTTCACATGGACAAGATTGAATGTAAATTGTGCTGAAACCAGATAATGGCAAAATGCTTTTAGACAAAGCTAACCATATGATATCTAAAAACAAAGAAGGAAGCTTTCTGTAAGAATTCCTCAGGATTCCCACCCAAATAGTTAACGTAAGAATAGACAAAATGGGAGACATTCTAGCATGTTTGAACGACACTAACAAGAAAAACTGTGTGCTTACGACGAGTTTTCCAACTCCCTTTTCCTTGTAGCTAGCTAGCTTGTTCTTCTGTTGTTTAATAACTTTTCACTAACCAAATTACCAACAAAAAAGGTAAAATAAAACTGGCCGTTGGAGTTTAAAGATTTGGCGAATTGCTTGTTCTCATCAGGTGTTTGCACTTTGCAGCAGCAGATTTCCCGGAGGAAGCACTTTCCAATGGCCTTGAGCAGCACCCAAAGAGCCTCTGAACAATCAACTCCTCGTTGGAAACACGATGTGTTTTTGAGTTTCAGGGGTGAAGATACCCGCAAGGGTTTTATATCCCATTTATACCACGAACTGGACTACTGGCAGGCAATTAAAACCTTCAAGGACAACCGAGATCTTGAAAGAGGGACAAGTATTTCTCCAGAGCTCTTGCGTGCGATTGAAGAATCGCAGCTTGCCATCATTGTTCTCTCACCAAACTATGCTTCTTCCACCTGGTGCCTGGATGAGCTTACAAAAGTTGTGGAATGCATGGAAGCCAGGGACACAATTTTGCCAATTTTTTATGGTGTGGATCCCTCTCAAGTACGAAATCAAACCGGGAGTTTTGCAGAGGCCTTCACTGAGCATAAAGAAAAGTTAATTACCAAAAAGAAGGTGGAGCAGTGGAAAGCTGATTTAACAAAAGTGGCCAATCTTTGTGGGTGGGATTCAAAGAATTTTAAGTAAGTATCCGTGAACAACTTTCCCATGCCTTAACGAGCTATATACTTTACCTAACCTTGTTATATATGTTAAACGTAATGCATTTTCTCCTTGTAAGATGTATCAGTTCTTAAGTAGAATTGCATCTCTTGAGAAGAGCTATGATTAGGAAGAGTTGTATCTCATTAAAAGTCTAGAGTTGTGTCTGCAACTCTTGGAACTAATCCAAGAGTTATGTCTGTTATGAAAAGGTCTGAATGTTATTATAAATAGCCAATAAGATGGCCTAGTGTTGTAATCAATTTCGGAAATTAATAAAGCTTCAGTTTTCTCTTTAAAACTCTCTTCCATATTCTCACATATCCATCTTTCTCCAACAAATTTAGTATATCAGAGCCAATCGATCCCTCCGCTGTGTTAATCATGGCATCAAATTCAAATTCCAACCATTGGAAATATTCAAAATTTAATGCCTATTTTCGATGGAGAGAATGATGAATATTGGAGCCTACAAATGAAGACCTTGTTCATCTCTCAAGATCTTTGGGATCTTGTAGAAGATGGTTACGAGGAACCAGAAAAAACTTCGACGGGAAAAGCGACGCCGGAATCGCAGCAAGCACTTAAAGAAAATAGGAAAAGAAAATAGGAAAAGAGATGCCAAGGCTTTATTTCTAATTCAACAGGGAGTAAGCAAAAATCTCTTTCCAAGATTACTTTCTGCAACTACATCAAAAATTGCTTGGGAAATACTCAAAATTGAGTTTCAAGGTTCACAGAAAGTGATCTCCATCAAACTTCAATCCTTGTGGCGAGAGTTTGATAATTTATTAATGAAGGAGAATGAATCCATTCAGGTTTTCTTCACAAAAGTTTCTGGAATTGTTAACCAAATTAGAAGTTATGGGGATACAATTCCAGACAAGAAAATTGTAGAGAAATACGCAGTCTACCGCCGAAGTTCGATCATGTTGTTGCAGCAATAGAGGAGTCAAAAGATCTCGCTACACTTTCGCTCCATGAACTAATTGGTTCTTTGGAAGCACATGAAAGAAGACAAACAAAAAGGAGAATCCCAAAAGTCTCAAAACAGAAAAAGTAAAGGAGAATCTCATGGGCGGAAGAATTACAACAAAGGCAACTATAACAACAACAATCAGCAAGGACGCAGCCATCAAAACAACCAAAATGGTAACCTTGTCCCTGAATGTCGTGTTTGTAAAAAGACTAGGCATAAAAGTGCAGATTGTCGGTATAGGTGTACCCGATGCAGAATACCCAACCATTCTCAAAGAGATTGCAGATATCAGAAAAATAATGAAGCCAATTTCACAGAAAATAATGAATCTCCAGAGCAACTATTTTATACATGTCTCAACGCTCGTCAAGAACCACAAGATATATGGTACGTGGATAGCAGATGCAGTAACCACATGACAGGAAACAAACAATGTTTTGTCAAATTTGAAGAAAATGTGAATTCACAAGTCAAGCTCGGAGATGGAAAGCTTCACAACGTGAAAGGCAAGGGTATTATCTCTGTTCAAACTCGAGAAGGTACACCAAAACTAATCTTTGATGTGCTATATGTTCCTAATTTGGCACAAAATTTATTAAGTGTAGGACAACTCCTACAGAAAGGCTTCTCTGTTCAATTTGATAATGATCACTGTGTTATTTCTGATAAAAAGAATAGCACTGTAGTGGCTAAGATAAAAATGACGGGAAACAAAGTCTTTCCGTTGATCATGACATCAAAAGAAAACTATGTTTTGGAAGCTGAAAATGTAGAAGAATCTCTATTGTGGCATATGAGGTACGGACATCTAAATCAAAGAAGTCTACAGCTCTTACACCAGAAAGATATGGTGGTTGGCCTTCCTTCTGTTCAGTCTGAAAAAGAAATATGTGAAGGTTGTATTTTTGGAAAATTCCATCACTTACCATTTTCACAATCAACATGGAAAGCAAGAGCCCCTCTTGAGTTGGTACATGCAGATATATGCAGACCGACTCGAACATCATATTTTAATGTCAAGAAATACTTTCTTCTCTTTGTTGATGACTATAGCAGGATGATGTGGGTTTATTTTCTAGAACAAAAGTCAGAAGCATTCTCTTTTTTCAAGCAATTTAAGGCCTATGGAGAGAAACAAAGTGGATACAATCTGAAGATGTTGAGAACTGATCGTGGTGGAGAGTTCACATCAAATGAATTTTTAGAATTTTGCAAAAGCAATGGAATAAAAAGAGAATTGACAGCAAGCTACACTCCACAGCAAAACGGTGTTGCGGAACGAAGAAATCGAACCATTGTGGAAATGGCAAGAAGCATGTTAAAAGCGAAAGGTCTGCCATATGTGTTTTGGGCTGAAGCAATTCATACCTCAGTGTTTATTCTCAACAGGTCACCTACCAAGTCTGTCAAGGATATGACTCCTTTTGAAGCATGGCATGGTTTTAAGCCAAAGGTTGATTTCTTTAAGATCTTTGGTTGCATAGCCTATGCACATGTTCCTTCTCAAAAGAGAGAAAAGTTTGATGAAAAGGGTGAAAAATATATTTTTGTGGGCTATAGTGACAAGTCCAAGGCATACAGATTGATTGATCCAAGAACTAATAAGTTGGTAATTTCTAGAGATGTTATTTTTGATGAATTCAAGGTATGGAGATGGGAAAACGAACAAGGTGAAATACCGAGATTTTTTGAGGAACCGAAAACATCAAATTTAGAAGAATCTCTGCTGCCCCAAAGTCCAATTTCAAGGGCAAGAAGTCCAATTCCAAGTGCAAGAACGTCTGATCCTAGTTCACCAGATTCAACTCCTAGACTAAACGCAAGAACACGTTCATTGGCAGACATATATGAGTTGTGTGATCTCTCCTTGAGTGCTTTGGAGCCTAAAAAATTTGAGGAAGCAGTGAAAGAAAAGATTTGGCAAGACGCAATGGAAGAAGAAATTAGAGTTATTAAGAAAAATTCTACGTGGGAACTTGTTGATCGGCCTAAATCAGAGGACATCATTGGACTTAAATGGATCTACAAGACAAAATACAATGAAGATGGCTCAATCCAAAAGCACAAGGCTCGGCTGGTTGCCAAAGGCTACTCTCAACAACCTGGAGTAGATTTCAATGAAACCTTTGCTCCAGTTGTACGAATGGAAACTATACGAACTATGTTGGCTTTGGCAGCACAATTGAAAACTCAAGTTTTTCAATTGGATTTCAAGTCCGCTTTTTTGAATGGAGAACTTGAAGAAGAAGTTTACGTAGAGCAGCTGCAAGGATATATTGAAAAGGGAAATGAAGACAAAGTTTGTCGACTTCGGAAAGCACTATACAGCTTAAAGCAAGCGCCAAGAGCCTAGAATAGCAAAATTGATCAATATTTCCATCAAAGTGGATTTGTAAGAAGTCCAAGTGAGCCATCACTCTATCTCAAGAAAGAAGGTACACATGATTTTCTTATTGTGTGTCTTTATGTTGATGACATGATTTATACAAGCACAAATCCAAGGTTGGTAGAAGTTTTCAAGAAGAACGTGATGAAGGAATATGAGATGACAGATTTGGGCACTATGAGATATTTTCTTGGTATACAGGTTCAACAATCAGATGATGGGATATTTATTTCTCAAGAGAAATATGCTGAAAATCTATTGAAAAAATTCAATATGTTGAAGAGCAAACCAATGGATACTCCAATGGCAATTAATTTAAAGCTTTCAAGTAATGATGGAGCACCAAGAGCTGATGCTTCTATGTATAGAAGTATTGTTGGCTCACTTATTTATTTATCTAATACAAGGCCAGACATAGTTCATGCAGTTAGTGTTGTATCTCGATTCATGAATGATCCAAGTAATCATCATTTTGATGCTATTAAAAGAATACTAAGATATGTGCAAGGAACCAAAGGATATGGCATCAAATATACACAAGAGAAAGAAAGCATTTTAGTTGGGTTCACAGACAGTGATTGGGCTGGTGCAATTGATGATAGAAGAAGCACATCTGGGCATGTGTTTTTCTTGGGAAGTAAAGTTATATCATGGTCATCGAAGAAGCAAAGTACAGTGACATTATCAACAACCGAAGTGCAGCATGTGAAGCAGTTTGGATTAGAAGAATATTAGTAGATCTTCGTCAAGAACAAAACATTCCAACAAAACTGTACTGTGATAACATGTCCACAATTTTCATGACAAAGAACCCAGTTTTTCATAGCAGGTCAAAGCACATAAAACTTCGTCATCATTTTATCAGAAAATTGGTTGAAGACGGAAGGATTGAATTAAAATTCTGCGGTACTGATGAGCAGATTGCAGACGTTTTTACAAAAGCACTTCCAAGAGAGAAGTTCTACTATTTCAGAGAAAAGCTAAATGTCGCAGGACAAATACATTAAGAGGGAGTGTTAAACGTAATGCATTTTCTCCTTGTAAGATGTATCAGTTATTAAGTAAAATTGTGTTTCTTGAGAAGAGCTATGATTAGGAAGAGTTGTATCTCATTAAAAGTCTAGAGTTGTGTCTGCAACTCTTGGAACTAATCCAAGAGTTATGTCTGTTATGAAAAGGTCTGAATTTTATTATAAATAGCCAATAATATGGCCTAGTGTTGTAATCAATTTCGGAAATCAATAAAGCTTCAGTTTTCTGTTTAAAACTCTCTTCCATATTCTCACATATCCATCTTTCTCCAACAATATATATGCCTGGTGGTTATTTTACTCTCCATCCTTGTAGGTGTGAAAGAGAGCTTATTGAGGACATCGTCAAATGTGTGTGGAGGAAAGTGCATCCTTCACTCACCTTGTCAAATTATCCACATAAGTTAGTCGGAATGAATTCTGGCCTTGAGCGACTGGGTGTACTACTAGAAACTGATGCAAATGATGTTCGCTTTATAGGGATAACAGGGATGGGTGGAATTGGGAAGACAACCATTGCTAAACTAGTTTTTGAGAGAATTTCCCATCATTTTGAAGTCAGCCGTTTTCTTGCTAATGTTAGAGAGGTTTATGCAAAACATCGTACTCTAGTTGACATGCAAAAACAACTTCTTTTCCCAATCTTGAAAGAAGAGATTAAACAAGTTTGGGATGAACTGTGGGGAACCTTTTTCACTAAGAAATGCTTACACAACAAAAAGGTTCTGCTCATTCTTGATGATGTGGATCAATTAGACCAACTAGAAATATTGGTTGGAAAGAAAGACTGGTTTGGTATGGGGAGTAGAATCATCATTACAACTAGAAATGAACGTTTGCTAGTTGAGCCTGGTATGGATATATCATATAAAGTTGAGGGATTGAGTGATGATGAAGCTCTTGAGCTCTTCAGTCTGAATGCCTTTAGGAAAGATCAACCTGAGGAAGGTTTTCTGGAATTGTCTAAGCGTTTCCTAAATTATGCCAAAGGCCTTCCATTAGCCCTTAAAGTTTTAGGATGTTCATTGTATAACGAAGGTCAAGATGTATGGATTAGTGCACTGGATCAAATAAAGAAATGCCTAGATTCAAAAATATTTGATCCTCTCAAAATAAGTTATGATGGATTAAACAAGATGGAGAAAATGATTTTTCTTGATGTTGCATGCTTTCATAAGGGGAAGGGCAAGGAACAAGTAATTCAAATACTGGACCATATTCGCAACATTTACAGTCGTAAGGGCATACATGCTCTTGTTGAGAAATCTATGTTAACTATTGAGAAATTTCATGATCCTCTTTCAATCGACATCGTGGAGGTGCATGACTTGATGCAAGAAATGGCATGGGAAATTGTTGGTCAAGAGTCTAAAGAGCCTGGTGAACACAGTCGGTTGTGGCTTCACAATGACATTTCTCATGTATTCATGAACAATACGGTAAGAAATTATGTAGAAATACCGAGTCTGGAATAAAATATTATTTCTTTTAATACGATGGACTTGAATGTGAAATTAACTAATAAATTTTCTTCATTTCTTAACTATTAGGGAACAAGAGCAATTGAAGCCATAGTCTTGCGTCTGCTAAAATTAGAAGAGGTGAACTGGAATTGTGAAGCCTTCTCTAATATGCATGGACTAAGGTTTATCGAATTTGATAATTTGATCTTTTTGTCATGCCCAAACTTTCTCCCACATTCCTTAAGAAGTATCCATTGGAGTTGGTATCCTTCCAAGTTTCTTCCACCAAGTTTTCAACTGAATTCACTTACTGAACTTAGTCTACTGTTGTGAATTAGGAACCAACTCACTCCCCTTTAGACCTTGTTGTTGATGGACTTTGGACAAACTCAATGATGGATGAGTCTTACACACACATAAAATTAACCAAGCACAAATGACACAAGTGTTTATAGAGGTTCAGCAATATGCCTACATCCTCTTTGGTGATCACCTTGAGAAATTTCACTAATGAAGATAGGTTACAACTTTGGTTTACACAGAAACCCCCTTAGAACACTACCCTCACAATCTGTTTCTCTCTCACCCTTTGCTCAACACCTTGATACGATAGAGAACTCTCTCTTCCCCTTGGTTCTCACTTGACTCACTAGTTTCTAGCTACTTCAACTCTCTTCTTGCTGTCTTGCTTCCTCTTCCCTCAAATACACCAAGCTTTGGACTTGAGAAAAGACTCATCTCTTTGTCCCACGTTCTGCCCTTGTTTTCCTAACATAGACCGGAGACAAAAGGCTAGACAATGACAGCTACAAGTTCAGCCACCCTATTAAGAACCATAGGGTAGGTGCTCCTTGAAACAAGCCAACATCCTTCCTTAATTTGCTTTCTTAGCTTCCCAACAACTTGCCACCTTTTATTTAAGTATGGAATGACTTAAACTGACCTTGCAAGTGGGTAGAAAGCGATAGCACACGACAAAGAGCTAAAAAACACCTTGGAAAACGAAACAGCATGTCAGAAGCGACCGGTCGCATATAGCTGGCGACCGGCCGGATTTAGGCAGATTCTCCAGCGACTGGTCGCTGGTAGCTGGCGATCGGTCGCCATAAGATTTTGCTCCAGACTTCGATTCTGCCTGAAAAATGACCGGTCGCTTGCTTCGTGCGATCGGTTGCTTTTAGGTAGAGTCTTCGGCGACCGGTCGCTTGAATCTGGCGACCGGTCGCTTGAATCTAGCGACCGGTTGCTTCCTGTTTTGTCTCCGAAGCTTGTATCCTTTATGCGAGCCAATTTTCACAACATCTACATCATGGAAAACTTGTTCGGCTTTGGGATGGAACAAAGGTGAGATTATTTAATATATCCCTTTATAAAATATTTTTAATTTTTTTTTAATAAAGTTGAAGTTTCTCCAAGATAATTATTCTCCTACCATTTTCTATGTATACTATACAGGACTTCCCCAACCTGAAATATATGGATGTTAGTTACTCTGATAAATTAACCAGTACCCCAGATTTCACAGGTCTACCAAAGCTTGAGAAGTTGAACCTTGAGGGCTGTAGGAATTTAGTTGAGATCCACCCATCCATTGCAGTCCTCAAAAGATTTAGAACGTTGGATTTCAGTAATTGTAAAAGTATTAAGAATCTCCCAACTGAGATAAAAATGGATTCTCTTGAATATTTTAGTCTTCGTGGCTGCTCAAAAGTGAAAAAGATTCCACAGTTTGTAAGACAAATGACAAAATTGTCAATGCTTTTTTTAGATGGAACTGTTGTTGAGGAAATACCTTCGTCAATTGAATGTCTGGTTGGCCTCATTGTACTGGATCTGTGTGACTGCAAAAGTCTCTTGGGTCTTCCGAGTGCGAATTGTAATTTGAAGTCCCTTGATACGCTCTGCATATCCGGATGCTCAAAACTTGACAAACTCCTGGGGGGAGATGGAGGCTTTAGAGTATCTTGACTTGGCGGGAACTGTTTTAAAAGAGCCGCTTGTTATGATGAAAAACCTCAAGTTATCTTTACGTGGGTCAATTGCTAAACCAAGGCGCTGGTTGGGCCTTGCTGGCTTATTTGGAATTAGAAAAAGTCCTGAGCCTTCCCCTCAGCCTTGGGGCTTGGTGTTGTCTTCTCTTAATCGTTTATGCTCTTTATTGGAATTGGATCTAAGTGATTGTGATCTAAGTGAAGGGGATATCCCTGATGATATCGGTTGCTTGTCCTCTTTACGAGAGTTATATGTTTGAGGAAACAATTTTGTGAGCCTGTTAGAAATGTGCCCTAAGAGCCAATACATTTGATGTAATCTCCTTAGAATACATTTCGTATATGATATATAAAGGGCAAACTTAATTTGTTATCTTTTACATCGTGTAAAGAAACAAATGTCCAGGGTATGCTAAATAAGAGATAAAGTAATCTAAAGAAGATTAGATTCATGAGACCTTTAATCTCTAATTGTAGTATCCCAAAATGTTCCTAATCATAGGTTATCAAATGGGCATTGATAAACCGTCAAGATTAGCGCATATTATGTATGCTCAATTGGGAGGATGGTTAGTCTCAAACCATTTGTGTAGTTGACACTAATACAAGTATGTGGGTGCTCATTAGTGAATGAGTACACTGAACGCGATCAACCGTAGTTCTCATATGGAGTATTTATCTACATGTCAAATGAGAACTCATAGTTGCAATAATGCAAATTAGTCCTTAGACCTGAGGCATCATGGTTGTCTTGTGATGCGTTATTGATCTTTGATAGCTCTTAAAGGCAAGCCGTAAAAGATTTGTCTTAAGTGTTGTTGGGATCTCTTAATTCATCATAGGGGCATGTGAATGTACAATAAGGAATCTCTACTTTCGATAAAGAAGGAGAATGTTTCAAGATGTGATTCAGTAAATCTTTGGCCAAAGTATTTTGAGCTTGATTTAGAAAGTTGTTCTTAATCATGTTCTTTTGAATCACATGAGGTTATAAATCATATTAGGGGTTTGACATAAACAATCCGTACCCTAATAATATGATTTGAAACATTGTATAAGAGAAGGACCGTATTGCATTGCAATTCCAACTGAATAGGTTCTTCATCTATTCGTGTTAGCTTGGGTAGCCTTGATATATTGCTAGATGTCACTCTTGGCTTGTGGAAGTCCTAAGATTGATTGTGAT